TCATCAGTATGGAATGTTGTCACTCGAATCGCAGACTCTTCTTTGTGCGACGTTATATTAATAGGAGCAGCAAAGTAGAGGCTGTTTTCGCAGGCTAGGAATTTTCAAGCTGTTAGCGTTGTATAATGTGATATAACAAAGCCAGGTAAACTTCGCCAGTGGAATGTTCGCTATAAATGTAAGTTAAAACTACGATTGTCTCGAACATTTTTATGTAAATTATTAATAAGTATAGCATGGTTTCTCGTGAAATTTGGATAAACATGCACTCGTGAGTTTTTCACTCGTGCTATTTTGGGGTCTTTGAAAAACTCACTCTATTCTATCTCATCTAGTTCCGAAGTTATACGCAAAAATGTGCAAAATATAAGTTGCTGATTCAGCACAACTTGTGTCGTCATTACGTCAGCTGAGGGTTAACAAGGTCTATCTGAGAAATTTGTCAAAATTGAGGTTTATGTCTCAAACAGCTTTAAATATAACTAGGTATATCTCCATTGCTAATTTATGCGGATATTGTGAATATTTTAGTGTCGGTAGCAATCCACAAAGGTCTATCTGCATAATTTAGCATAATTTCAAAGTCACAAAGGTCTATCACATTTCCAAGATGGCTGCCAGAAACCATGGTCGATTAAAAACTGTAAAAGAGAACGAAATCAGTGAGTTATTGGAAAGGTAAGCAACATTTTTCACTGTTATTGAGAAGAAGTTTATTACGAGAGGTCATATACGCTAAAATTGGACTGGAAATTGATATATTACACGAACAAAAAAATGAAAATTAATATCTACACTAACTTTAGCATTTTCATATTTTTGTATTTCAAATTGGACTTGTATTTCTCACATCGGTTAAGAAGAAAATAGGAATTTGACTGCCCAATATACTTAGATATGTTACCTGAAGAATAATAAGGAATTGATCCCAGTATAATCATGAGTTTTATACAAATTTTAGGTCGGATATTGTAGCAGATTATACAGAGGATAGCAGTGATAGTTCTGGTGTTGATGAAAATTATGATCCAAGAGGAGAATTATTTGATGATGAATCGAGTTCAAATTATGGTAAGGTTTAATAGTAATGCTATTTGAATTGCATGAAATATAAATATTTTCACAATGCTTCCCATTGCCCATGCAACAAGGGACTATTGAGGGTTAGTGGGCAAGAGATCAATTTTCATTGTAAATGTGTCCCCGGGAGTGGGCTATGTCACCATTCTCTTAGGGCCTGTTTATATGGAAGCCTGGCTGGCCAGCTTTGCGAGACAGCCCGGTAAGCGGGATGAATTTCTCTTGTGCTGGTGAAGGTCTTAGCCAGGCTAAGAAAGCAGACATAAGATCAATGCTGAAATTTATGCCTGCCTGTGACAGAGAGTTTATGTCACTTCTTGTGTAAAAGTAATTAATGTTTCTTTTAGATATAAGAAAGTCATGACAGTAATGCTATTTAAACTTTGTGCCAGGCTATTAGAAATAACGATATTACAAGAACAACTACAGTACATTATGAACCTTTTAACTGATTTTTTTTAAATATATATAATTATGTATAAATTAGAGCTAAATAGAAACTAATCAACCTTTTTTTAGATTATTAATATATTTACAATCCTCATAGTTTTAGAATGTAGTAAGATTTGTACCGAAACTACCCAGGAAATCAATGGAATAGTAGATTATCAAACTTTGAATTGATGTTTCCAATGTTGAAATGAGCGCAGACTTGTTAAAATAATCTTGGAGGTAAAATTTTAAACATTCAGAATTAACTAATTTTAGATAGACCTTTGTAACTCTAATTTTTCAAAAAATTCAGAGTCACAAAGGTCTATCTCCAAAAGTAGGATCGCTATTTCCCATAATTCATGCTGGGTAGCAATGCACAAATAACTGTAATTAAACAACCTAGTGTATAGTATGTAGTAGATCAAAACATTTTGAAATTAAATTGTATTCTATTCCTTTTATGAGCATACAAACTTTCATTTGCCTATTTCTCTGAACTAGTTAAAGAGCAGATAGACCTTGTTAACCCTCAGCTGACGATTAGTTGGGTAAGTATGTTTAATGAATACTAAACTGAAGCATAGCTCAGTTATTATGGGCCGAAATCAAATGAAATTTTGCATACTGATTGTACATGATGAGACGCATTGAATAACACTTC